AGATATCCAGTCATAGCATCTACCCGAGACTTCTCATCTAACAATCTGCAAGAGTCAGCAAAGAAATTTCCAATTCAACCAGAGGAGAAAACAAATTTTTTCTTTCCAAAAAAAAAATTGTTTCCTTCTTAAGGGGGGAGGTGTTATGAACCCATATCAAATGTGATATATTTTTTGATAAATAAATGAGAATAATGACTCCATTCACATCGTAGACGTAAAGTCAGCGTGTCTGGAGAACAATGACTCCATTCACATCGTAGAGACATAGCATTTCATTAGTCATTCACATCATTAGTCAGCATTTCTGGAAGCTTCGCTTCTGGACAATCATTCTTTTGTTTTCTTATCTAATCTTGATTACTGGTCAATGAACAATGACTAACGATGGATCGAACTTATAAAAGGAGGCTGAACGTCTCAGCCATGGTTCTTGTTTCTCAGCACTTGGTTCTTGTTTCTCAGGACTTGGTTCTTGTTTCTTTAGACTTCGTTCTTGGTGTTCGACTCTTAGTTCATCGGTTTCTCCTGATATCTTAGAGTTCAACTTGTGTCTAGGTCTAGTTTTGTGATTGTGTTTACAACTAGTAGTGTTCATAACATTATTTTAGTGACTAAGTTGTTCTGTACATGTAACATGTTGTAAAATGTTCTTCTGTTGCTTACAATCAATATAATTCTTCTTTCGTTAAAAGTGTGTTCGATTTCAATCTTGAATAATACCACGAACGCGGAGGAAGATCAACGTCGTGAATCGATAATCGAATCGGGCCACGACAATATATACGATTTAAAGACAAATCAGAGGCATCTGCCGGGAAAAATATTTAACACTTAGGAAAACTCCATTTAAAAAATTTCCCTTTTTATTTACTATTTCCATGCGAACTTGACTATTATCATTATTATTATTATTTTTTGTTTTTCCATAATCAATTCCAGATAATTTTAATATGATGATAATATTTGTAAATAAATAAATAAAATTGGTGGCATGTGAAAATTTTCTCCCTCTCTCTCTCTCTCTCGCTCTGTCTCTCTCTATTGTTCTAAACAATGAAGGGGGAAAAAAAAAAAAAAAACAAGCTCACGCCTTAAATTTTAAACCGCGTTTCTTCACGTACAATTATCAAACGTATGGAAAATTTTAATAGATAGTTTGATAAATAAATAAATAAAAAATGGAAAAGGAAAAATTTGATTCACCTTCTCTACCAAATTTCCTTTTTTTCTTTCCGCTTGATAATTTCGGGGCGGAAGAATTGGACGACGACGACGTCGTCGTCGTCTGATTCTTATCCTTGTTTTTCCATCGTATGCCCAACATGTCTGTCTACCCACATTTAATTATTATATACGATTTTTATTTAAAGGATTCGACGACGAATGACGTTTAATAATATCCCTTAATGAAAACATTTTTGTTTTTTTTTTTTTTGCTTTTAGTCGTTTCCGTTCACGAAAACATTTTCAAATACGAAAAAAAAAAATCAGAAATTCATTTCGACAAAACTCGACCGACCGAAGGATCATTATGACAAAAAAAAA